GCTTAAGGCTGCTTTGACCACAGCTCTAGTATTGGTTTTGCCATCAGCTTCAGGTTCATATACTGTGTATTGTGATGCTTCGAGAGTGGGCATTGGGTGTGTGTTGATGTAGGAGGGTAGAGTTATTGCTTATGCTTCTCGTCAGTTGAAGCCCTATGAGAAGAACTACCCCGTTCATGATCTAGAGTTGGCTGCCATTGTTCATGCATTGAAGATTTGGACGCATTATTTGTATGGTGTGTCTTGTGAGGTGTTTACTGATCATCGTAGCCTCCAGCACTTGTTCAAATAGAAGGATCTCAATTTGAGGCAACGAAGATGGCTGAAGCTGCTAAAGGATTATGATATTATTATCTTGTACCATCCGGGGAAGGCCAATGTAGTAGCCGATGCTTTAAGTAGGAAGGCGATGAGTATGGGCAGTTTGGCATATATTCTTGTTGGGGAGTGACTTCTTGCAGTTGATGTTCAGGACCTGGCCAATCGGTTCGTGAGGTTGGATATTTCGGAGCCCGGTCAGGTATTGGCTTGTGTGATTTCTCGGTCTTCTTTATTTGATCGCATTAGAGAGCGCCAGTATGATGATCCTCATTTGCTTGTCCTTAAGGATAAAGTTCAGCACGACGATGCCAGAGATGTGACTATTGATGATAATGAAGTGTTGAGGATGTAGGGTCGGATTTGTGTGCCCAATATGGACGGGCTTCGGGAGTTGATTCTAAAGAAGGCCCATAGCTTGCGGTATTCCACTCATCCAGGTGCTGCGAAGATGTATCAGGATCTGAGACAGCATTATTGGTGGAGGAGGATGAAGAAGGATATTGTAGGATTTGAATATCGATGTCTCAATTGTCAGCAGGTGAAATATGAGCATCAGAGGCCGGGTGGCTTGCTTCAGCAGATGGTTATTCCAGAGTGGAAGTGGGAGCGGATCCCCATGGACTTTGTAGTTGGGCTCCCACGAACTTTGAAGAGGTTCGATGCTATTTGGGTGATTGTGGATCGGCTGACCAAGTTCGCGCACTTCATTCCTATTTGTACTACCTATTCCTCAGAGCGGTTAGCTGAGATTTATAACTGAGAGGTTGTTCGCCTACATGGGGTTCCAGTTTCCATCATTTCAGATAGAGGTACTCAGTTTACTTCACAGTTTTGGAGGGTCGTGCAACGAGAGTTGGGTACTCAGGTTGAGTTGAGCACAACTTTTCACCCTCAGACGGACGGGGCAGTCCGAGCGCACCATTCAGATATTGGAGGACATGTTGCACGCTTGTGTGATTGACTTCGGTGGTTCATGGGATCAGTTTCTACCGCTCGCGGAGTTTGCATATAACAAAAGTTATTAGTCGAGTATTCAGATCCATACGAGGCTTTATACAAGAGGCGGTATAGATCTCCAGTTGGTTGGTTTGAGCCCGGTGAGGCTAGACTTCTAGGTACAGACTTGGTGCAGGATTCTTTGGACAAGGTAAAGGTACTTCAGGAAAGGCTTCGTACAGCGCAGTAGAGACAAAAGAGTTATGCTGATAGGAAGGTTCGTAATGTATCTTATATGGTTGGGGAGAAGGTGCTACTGGAGGTTTCACCCATGGATTTGGAAAGAAGGGGAAATTGAGTCCTCGGTTCATTGGGCCCTTTGAGGTGCTTCGGAGGATTGGGGAGGTGGCTTATGAGCTTGCTTTGCCCCCAGTTTGTCGAGTGTGCATCTGGTATTCATGTTTCTATGCTCCGGAAGTATATTGGAGATCTGTCTCATGTTCTGGATTTTAGCACGATTCAGTTAGAGGGTGATTTGACCTATGATGTGGAGCCAGCAGCCATTATGGAGCATCAGGTTCAAAAGTTGAGATCAAAGGATATAGCTTCAGTGAAGGTGCAGTGGAGAGGTCGACCCGTGGAGGAGGCTACCTGGGAGACCGAGCGAGAGATGCGGAGCAGATATCCTCACCTATTTGAGGCTTCAGGTATGTTTCTTGACTCGTTCGAGGACGAACGTTTGTTTAAGAGGGGGAGGATGTAACGACCCGGCCAGTCGTTTCATGAGTTACCGCTCCGTTTTCCCTATTTCTGCTTCTTTATATCATGTTCAGTCGTATTGAATGGTATCGAGTTGGTTGGTCCGAGTTCGGAATGGCTTTGGTGAGGTTTGAGACCCTTAGTCTCTTAAGTTGGTCTTTTAGTTGAAAAAGTCAACCGGAAGTTGACTTGTGAGCAAACGATCTCGGAATTTGGTTTTTATGATTCAGATAGCTTCGGGAGGTGATTTGGGACTTAGGAGCGTGATCAGAATGTTTTTAGGAGGTCCGAAGTAGATTTAGGCTTGAATTGGCGAAAATGAATTTTTGGCATTTTCCGGTTGATAGCAGAGATTTTGATATAAGGGTCAAAATGGAATTCCGGAAGTGGGAGTAGGTCCGTTGAGTCATTTGTGACGTGTGTGCAAAATTTTAAGTCATTCGGGCGAGGTTTGATAGACTTTTTGATCGAAAGCGAAATTAGGAAGTTTTTGAAGTTCTTAGGCTTGAATCCGTGGTTGATTTGTTGTTTCGATATTGTTTTAAGTGTTTCGAAGATTGGTATAAGTTTGGATGGTGGTATGTGACTTGTTTCTACTTTTGGTTGAGGCCCCGGGGGCCTCGGGGTGATTTCGGATGGTTGGCGAGAGTTTTGGAGTTGGAAATTTGCAGTTGAAGTGCTAAAGCTCCTGTCATAACTACACTTGCGGCTTAGGGACCGCATGTGCTGGCACGCAGAAGCGCAATGAGGGTCGCAGATGCGGAAATGGGCAAGAGGAGCTGGAACCGTAGATGTAGATATTTGAGCGCACCTGCGCTATCCTGATCACAAATGCGGTCGTGAGTGGTTAAGTGAATTCTGCAGGTGCGAGATTTTCGACCGCAAAAGTGGTTTAGCTGGGGCAGAACATATAAATTTGACCCTTCGCGATTTTTGAGTGGTTTTTCACCATTTCCATGTGTGTTTGAGCTTGGGAGAGCAATTTGAAGAGGTAAATCAAGAGGGTTTCGTGGAGGTAAGATTTTTGGATCCTAAACTTGTTTCTATGATGGTTTTTGACTGATTAAGTTTGAAATCTATGGAAAATTAGTAGCAAAATTGGGGGTTTAGGGCTTAGAAATTGGAGACCTTAATCTAGGGATTTGAGGGGTCATTTGTGGTCGGATTTTGATATTTTTGGTATGTATGAACTCGTAGGAGGATAAGAAGTTTATTGATGTAATTTTTATCGGATTCCAAGGCGTGGGACCGGGGTTGGGTTTGGCCAGTTTCGGAATTTGTGTGGTAATTTGATTATTTTCACATGGGCTTCGTTCCCTTAGCATATTTTGATGTCATGATTTTGATTTTGGATAAATTCAACGCGAGTTGAGGCCGAGTCGAGAGGCAAGGGCGTCGCAGAGTAGTATTTCATCCGGTTTGAGGTAAGTAACCATTGTAAAAAATGACCTGAGGGTATGAAACCTCGGTATTTCATATTGTTTTGTTAAATGTGGTGATGCACATGCTAGGTGACGAGCATGTGGGCGTGCACCGGTAGGGAACGTGACTGGGTCCGTCCCGTAGCGACTATTAAGCCGCGTATTTTGATTAAAATCTTATGATATTCCGTGTTTTAGAGATTGATACTATATGTTGGGTTGTACGCCGTGTTTGGGACCTTATGCCGACCCTGCTTAGACCCTTAGGGGTATTTTTACTACTTTTCTCACTCTGTTTGATTTGAAAGCATATCCTCAGTCATGTTTTACCTGGTATTTGTTTAAAACCGATTTCATCACTCTATTTTTTATATATGAAAACTGTTTAGGCTGAGTTCCCTGATTTTTACTGATATTCCCGAGTGGCCGTGAGGTTAATGACTGAGAGAGGTTTAGGACCTAATGGTGAGAATTATATATCTGTTATGGATCGATTTGCACACAACAACGATATTATATATGGATCGGGCTGCACGCTGCAACGATATACATATGAATCGAGCTGCACGCCACAATAATATATATTGGATCGGGCTGCACGCCGCAGCGATATGACGCTTGGGCTGTAGGAGCCCCTCCGGAGTCTGCACACCTCCAGTGAGTGTAGTCGACTATAAACTATGGATCGGGTTGCACGCCACAGCGATTATTATGATTATTATTGTTATGAGATATTATTGAGCCGGAGTGCTGAGTGTGAGTACTGTTTAACGAGAGCTGAGTCACGAGTGACTGGGAGGCTTGCCCGAAAGGCTATATTTATGAGTGATACCTGGCCCGAGGAGCTTGTTTATGACTTTTGTTGTTTTCACTCTTCTTTTATACTGAGCATCTGTTGAAAAAAAATGTTTTCAAAGGATGTGTAATCGAAACTGAAGTTTTACGAGATGACTGTTTTTTAAATTGCAGAAGTTGACTTGATATTTCTGTTAAGACTTATTATATGATTTTAACTGCTCGTCACTGTACTCAGACCTTATTTAAGTTAGTTACTTACTAAGTTGGCGTACTCACGTTACTCCTTACACCTTGTGTGCAGATCCAGGTGCCCGAGCATCAGAGTGAGAGCTTCCAGCACTCTCAGAGCTTTACCGGAGACTACTAGGTAGTTGCACTGCTTTCGCAGCCCTGCTTTCCTCCTTCCTATCTTAGTATTCTGTTATTTAAGACTTATGATGTATTATTCAGTCAGTTTGAGTTGTATTTAGAGGCTCTTGACTAGTGACACCGGATTTGTTGGGCTGTGTTGGTATTTTGTACTGGTTTTCCGCACATTCTGTTTTATTCATCTATTTCATATGCCGAATTTGAGACTTATTCGATATTAGAAAGTGATTTTTATAAAAGATTTCGTTGTGTTAAATATTTGGTTGGCTTGCCTAGTAGTGTGATAGACCCATCACGACTATTATTAAAAAAATAAGTGCAAAAACACCCCCCGGTAAATATTTGAGACTCATTCGACCGCGTATTTGGGATGGTGACAATGTCTTTGTTAAAAAAAGAAACTCAAAGATAAGTGCAAAAACAATAATATAGTAGTAATTTTACCGGGGGAAAAAAGGGTGCGCCACTGTCTTCTCCCTCGAGAATTGGCATTAGAACTTCACTTACAGTTTGCTTTGAAGTATCGCCTTAGTTGGCTAACACCCAGGTACTATTTCTATTAACTTCTTTTGTTCTAAACAAACCCAATGTATGGTTAACAAAATAATTTAGGTATTAAAAAACAGATATAATAGGACTAGTCGTTTGATTGGATTCTCTTTTTTTCTCTTTTAATTCTGAAATTCTTGTAACTCCTAATTTGTGTTAGTTGGATTTGCTGTGATTCATTTAGCTGTGTTGATTTTCCTATGACCATTATTAGCTATTTTCCTTATTACTGATCTTTCCTTTTATTTTTTTCCAGATATTTCAGTTAAATGAACTGAAATTGATAAAAAGATTACTTCTGTAGAGAAGAGAAGAAAGTTGCTTCAATAGGCCGTTAGCCAGATTTTGATTTAATATCCTTTACTGTGCTTAACTTATATTGAGATATACCTAGGAAATGAGTTCAATGTAGGTAGCACTAAGGGAAGAATTGCTGTCTTTTTCCTAATGAGGGAAAAATCCATAGTTGTTAAGTCATTTGCAAAATGCCCATTTGTTTGGTTTAAGTTATTGCTTCTATGGAAATTGACCTTGAATTGCCTTCGGGGGTTGACACGTTAGATGTGTACATGGGTAAAAATGCAATTGATGATTCAAGTCAAAATCATGCTGGGGTAGAATATGTGAAAGAGAATGTTGACGAAAGTGGCGATGCGATAGGTATGGATGTTTTGGATGTCGATATTATAGATAAGGGTATAGCCAACAACGAGCCACAAAAGGATATGGAATTTGAAACAAAGGAGGCTGCTTACTCTTTCTACAAGGAGTATGCGAGGTTACTAGGATTTGGCATTACGATAAAGGCGAGTCGTAGGTCAAAGAAATCGGGTAAATTTATTGATGTGAAGATTGCATGCTCTAGATTTGGGGCCAAGCGCGAGTCTGGTAGTTTTCGATCATGTCCCAAGACTGACTGCAAGGCCAGTGTGCATGTGAAGAGAAGGCAGGATGGGAAATGGTATATATATAGCTTTGTTAAGGAACATAATCATGAAATTTGCTCTGATGACTTTTATTGCTCCGTCAGGGGAAGGAGCAAGCAATCTGCCAATGTAGTTTACCAGAAAAAAGGATTGCAGCTTGCATTAAATGAGGGGGATGTGGAAGTGTTGCTTGACACTTTAGCTCTTATGCAAGCTGAGAGTCCAAATTCTTATTATGCTATAGACTTTGACAAAGAAAAACGTATGAGGAACGTATTCTGGGTTGACGCAAAATGCAGAAATGATTATGGCCATTTTTGTGATGTAATTTATTTGGACACCTATTACATCAGAAACAAATATAAAGTCCCATTTATACCTATAGTTGGGGTCAATCATCATTTCCAATTTTTGTTGCTCGGATGTGCCTTGGTTGGGGATGAAACATCATCAACTTTTGCTTGGTTATTGCGCACTTGGCTTAGAGCTGTAGGTGGCCAGAGTCCTAGAGTAGTTATTACTGATGATGACACTTCCGTGAAAGAAGCAGTAGAGCAGGTCTTCCCTGAGGCACGGCATTGTTTTTGTTTGTCGCATGTAATGGAGAAAGTTTCTCAAGATCTAGGTAATAAGATAAGTAAGATCGAAGATTTTGTAAACAAGTTGAAGAAATGCATGTGGTTGCCACTTAAAGAAGAAGAATTTGAAAGAAGATGGTGGGAAATGGTTGATACATTCAAGCTGAGGGATGATGACTTGATTCGATCATTGTTTGAAAATCGAACAAAATGGGTTCCAGTGTACATGAGGAATACTTTCTTGGCTGCACTCTCTACTGTTGAGCGGTCTGAAAGTGTATCCTCCTCCTTCGAAAGGTATATTTCCTCTGATACTACATTCAAAGAGTTCAATGATGGGTACAAGCTATTCGTGCATGACAAGTATGAAGAGGAAGCAAAAACTGATATTGAAACGCGTCACAGACCACCTACCATAAAGACTCTTTCTCCTTATGAGAAACAAATGTCTACTGTCTATACAAACTCACTATTCATGAAATTTCAAGCTGAGGTTGTTGGCGTTGCTGCTTGCACTGTCCTGAATGATGGTGAAGAAGGAACTGAGAAGTTGTATAGAGTTAAGGATCGTGATAAAAACCAGAGTTTTATGGTATCCTGGAGAGGAAGAGAATCTTACATTGTTTGTTCATGCCGTTCCTTTGAGTATATAGGTATTCTTTGTAGACATGCAATTACAGTTCTTCAAGTAAATGGTGTCCCCAATATCCCTCTGGTGTACATATTAAAGCGATGGACACGAGAGGCAAAAATTAAAGGTAGAGCATGTAGGATTTCAAGCACCTCTTGTTACAGGATCCAACGTCTCAATGATCTTTGCAAACTATCTGCCAAATTTGGTGAAGTTGGATCTTTATCCCAGGAAACCTATGAATCAGCTGTCTTCGCAATCCAAGCTGCAATGCAAGATTGTATCAATGTAAACAACTCTGTGAAGAGTGCATTAGTCTCTAACATTTCTTCTTCTCAATGCAACCCTAACATTGATGAAGAGATTCAAGGTGGCAGCATGGCAAAGTCATCAAAGAGAAAGAAAGTACAGAAAAAGCGCAAGGTAGTATGAGTTCTTATTTAAGAAAGATCCAGTAATAGTGGCAAAAGAGTCTTTTTAATAGTGGAAGTGCTGTAGGTGCAATATAACGGTGAAGTGCTATCTACTAGGATCCAAGATAACAGCCTGCAGATGGTATATCTTTTGGCTTCTAATCTTTCCAACATACGTTGAAAGCTCGGTTACATATATTTATTCTGTTTCCTTCTTTTTAGGATCAATCAAACTCAAAAATGCCAACTAATGAAGATGCTTTCCTTGCTCAGAGGCACGTACAAGGAATGGTATGAGATATCCCTTGTAGACAATAATTTACAAGTGTTTAAGCTCTTTTGATCTTTCTTTCTATGATTTCAGGATCCAGGCTCCAGAGTGGCAACAATTGACGGACACTATGCTCATCATAGCATTCATGGATTGGTGCTGCATCCTCTTTCTGCATTCAAGCTTTGAAGCACTTGTCCACAAAATTTATTTGCTTAACTGAGCTCGTTTGATAATGTGGTATTTTTTCAGGGACAGTTGAGTTCGTTTTCTATGCTACGAGATAACTATTACAGCAATCATCAAGCCTCACACAGAGTTCTGGTAAGGAAACTATTTATTAGGAACTTGATGGCGAAAAGATATTTGAAGTGAACTAAATTGTTGGTTAACCTTTTACAAGTATGAACGACCGCATTTGATTATGTTCCCTTTAATTTCCCGCTCTCACAGGGAAACTTGAATTATATATCAGCCCACGGTGGTCATTACTCTCCTCACAGTTTTCAAGGACTGGTATGAACACTAAGACCTAGACCTAGTATTTTTGTTGAACCAAGTTTGTCCATTGGTCAAATATGCTCATGTTAGCTCATAGTGAATTGCAGTTGCAGGGACAGCTTAGTTTCAAAGCACCACTACTGCATACTTCTTTTGACATTCAGGGAAATTCATCTGATATGGTATGATTCACATGGTCAATTTTTGTTTATTCTTCATTATCCTGGGTCCAAATTTCACTCTCCACTCCCTACTGTAGGACAATCCAACCAGTGTCACAGGAAAACATTTGCAGGATTAGTGTTTCTCTATGCAGGATCGGAAAAAGTGTTTAATTCGTCTCCTTTAGGAAGTTAGCAGAATAGGAAATTAATGTACATTATTGTAAAAGTTTTGTATTCCTAAGCATGTTTAACAGAGAAAGAAACTAATGTACATTCCCATATATGAGAAGAAATGTTCGCTTGTTCACGGAGAGAATTCTGTTTTCTGGCCTTGTGTCAGAGAGTACTGATGAAAAATATTTGCATATCATTACACTTATCGTGGGAGAATTACACATAAGTGCAATTTACACACATAAGTAGCCCAATTATAGCTTTGCAAATCTATAGCCAAAGACAATAGGCCCAAATCCGAAAATCCGGCATTTTTTCACACAATCAGCATTTCTTACTGTTAATGCTATTCAACATTCCTATTGTTGAGGAGAGATTATGTACCCATCTCCTACCAAAATCAGTGTTTACTATTAACTTTATGAGACAATTAATAAAAATATATTTAAATATAAAAAGAGAGAAAAAGAACTGGTAGCGTTTTTCCCCTTTATCAGTTGCAGAGAATTTATTGGATTTCAATTAAATAGTTACTAAACATATAATATATGAATATAAAAGTAGAAGAAATCGATTCAACAATTAGTAAAATATACATTCATTTATAAATTAACAAATAAAAATAAATTTCGCTACTTTTTTGCTTTGTCAATGGTAGAACAAATGGCAATTCCTTCTTATACACACATCATTGCTAGATTTTAGTTGTTATTTTTCTTCTTCAATGATGTCACTAATAGAGTTTAACCCAAAACAGAGAATAAGTTAAAAACAAGTAAAGGAGGTTGTCCATCTTGAGAAAAGGTAAGAAAACACACAAAAATTTAATTTTGCCGTTGTACATTCTTATACACTGATATATACATAATTATACAAAATTATATACACTTATACATATTTATACAGTATATACACTTGTATTTATAATGTCTAAACAATGTACTTATGTTTTATAATGGGAGAATTACACATAAGTATAATTCATACTCACACATTGCAACTGAGTAGCCCAGTTATAACTTTGCAAATCTATAGCCCAAAGACAATAGACCCAAATCTGAAAACCCAGCAATTTTTTTCACACAATCAGCATTTCTTATGGTCAATGCTATTCAACATTCCTATTGTTGAGGAGAGATTATGTACTCATCTCCTACCAAAATCAGTGTTTTATTATTAACTTTATGAGACAATTAATAAAAATATATTTAAATATAAAAAGAGAAAGAAAAAAAGAAGAACTGGTAGCCTTTTCCCCGTTTGTCGGTTGCAGAGAATTTGTTGGATTTCAATTAAATAGTTGCTAAACATATAATATATGAATATGAAAGTAGAAGAAATCGATTAAAAAATTAGTAAAATATACATTCATTTATAAACAAACAAATAAAAATAAATTTTGCTGCTTTTTTGCTTTGTCAATGGTAGAACAAATGGTAATTTCTTCTTATATACACAAATCATTGCTAGATTTTAGTTCTTTATTTTTTTTCTTTAATGATGTCATTATTAGACACTTGGAATTGGTTCTTCTATCTGGTTCAAGTAGCTTCAGGATTGCACACTTGAATCACACATAAATTGCTTGCAAAATTGCATTGCTATTTTGCTCTCAATTCACGTTTAACTTCTGCTTATGTGCATTACATGTAAAAGAGAACAACACTGATATTTATGGAGTTAGTAAATAGAGATTGACTATAATACTGACGCTACTCTTCCTTGGTAGAAGAGTTCTAGTTGATCTCCACATCTAATTCTATCCATCTCTTAAGCCTTGTTCTCTTTGAGTAAGAAGTCTTTCTCCTTATCTAATATGCTATTTTTCGATCAGGATCAGGACATATCATTTCTGGTAAGTGAGGTTTATCTCCCTCACGTGCATCTCACATACTTGAGTTGACAATATCTGTGCTTCACTAGTATGGATCTGGTCCATAAACAAGAGATCTATTTCGAACCTCTCAAAATTCATTGGAGGGTAAGGCCTTGTGTCCTCTCCCTACAAAAAATGTTTTATTTTATGTAGTTAGTAATAAAGTTGGCCTGTTCGATTAAAGAAATGGTTAAAGAAACAATAAATTTATAACTCTTATTACTTAGATCTATGTTTTTATCACGTAGTAGTCGTGGATACTTTGTAGATCAAGCATGCTGAAAGTTTTTGTGAACGGCCTCAAGACCTTAACTTGGATATGATTATTAATTATAAGTAATTAAATTATTAATTATAAGTAATTAAATGATGATTACTTCGAACTTTGGAGAAGTAACTCTCTCCCTCCACCCCATAAATTATGCTAAAGAGAAATTAAAGAAAAAATTGTTTTCGTCGAATATTCACTACGTACTTGGCTATATAATTCAACATTCGATGGTAATCCATAATATTGAATATATGAATTACAATGACATTGACTATTAAGCGTTTTTCATACTTTTTCTCTCTTCTTCTACTTTTATTTCTTCTGTCACAAAAAGAAATAAAGAGAAATGTGCTTTAGAAAACTTAAAAATTTACTTGATGTAACGTCTTTAAACGACTAATTATAGAGCATTATCAGATGACACTTGAGAACCAACGAAATAGTCTCATATGTAGAGTGTTGGGAATAAACCCCTTGCCAAAATAATATTCACGGTAATAAAAGTGGAATAATAATGTAGCACCGAGATACGGTAATTAACAAGAATAAAAGAGTAACAATGACACCAAGATTTTTACGTGGAAAACCCTTCTGAATAAAGGAAAAAACCACGACCCCGAGAGGAGCAACTGATATCACTACAGTAAGGAATTTTACACTTTGTAGGTCGGAGATAAATACTCCAAAGACCACTACAACACTCAAAAGAAATAACCCTCTTTTGATATTCTCACCTCACTACAATATCGCTCACTCTCTATTTTCCTCACAGACTATTTTCTTATACCTTGTTTGTGAAACCTCACTCTTTCTTTCTTTCTTTGTTGGTGCGTAGAAATGAGAGTTGAAGCTCTCCTTTTATAGCCAAAGCTTCACCCTCTAAAACCTACAATATTTGACAATTTACATACACTTTTCACAATTCAACAAAGTTGGCTACCAAACCAAAGAAATTCAACAAGGTT